GTAGCTCCAGCTGTGCTCACTCGGTATCACCCTACTTGGTTTGGTTTTTTTCTTGCTGCTTTTGTCACTCGAGGTCACTTGTTTGAATCATGTATGTTCCATCTTCTCATACGAGGATGTCAGTTCCAGGAAAAAGGACCCTGAGCCTGCTCTGCGTTGTTTACCATAGCATGTGTCACCAAAACTTTTAAAAAAGGCTCTTCAAAAACATTAAAGTTCTCTTTTCAGACATTTTCGAAGTGTAGTGTGGAGGAGGAGGAGGTGGGGCGGAGCAGACGGGCGTGATCTTGAGTATTGCTCACAGCGGTGACAGCTGACTGACAGACCAGAGGTCAGGAGACCCGCGGTTTTCCAGTTGCTGCAGGTCAGTGACGCATCACACCACCCGCCTTTCACAATATTTGAAAACACATGTCTCTCAGCTTTTTAAACCAGCTCACCCACTTTCTTAGTTCTTCCTACTAACCCACATCACACATGAGCCCCAGTGGCAGGGGCTTTCTGAGGGGGGGCACTGGAAGAAGGGAGCTGGGGGGACGCGACACCCAGAGAAGAGCTGTGATGATTCCCAGAAACTTACAGCTGAATTTCAAAGACAACAGACATTCAGAAGCCATGACTGCTGAGCAGCAGCCTCGCTGAGCTGGCACTGTTAAAACCGAGGTGCTGAAAAGATGGCTCTCAAGCTTTTTAGAGTCATGGCACCAATTCAGATACCAGAAATTTGAGAAAACCGTTGAAGAGATGAAGACTAAAGGGAGCACTGCGTTAGCAATAAGTGCAACCTATTTACACAGCAGAGGACAAAGGCTCCTGTCCCTGCGAAGATCTCCCTGGGGGGGTCACCATCTCCAGCCCCCTTGGCCACCCCGCTGCGCTCCAGGCCGGAATCCCACAGCTGCCGGCACATTGTCCTTTTGTGAGAGTTTGATTTATGCTAAACCACCTCCCTCGCTTGTAGTAAATTGTTTCTAATCTGCGCCCTGTTCCTCAGACAACTCAGGTCAAGTTCTGACAGACCTCGCCTGTGGGCAGAGGACTCAGCGGTAGGAAAATGAGGTGCACTTGTTGACTGGAATTGGGCAAGGATTTCCTGGTGGAGCAGAGTGTCCGACACACTTGCTCGGGAACAAGGCTGAAACCTGACTCCCACGTCGAACATGCATGCTCTGCAGTCACCACCCCCGCTAGCCCCCCCCCACCCGCCCCACCACCACCCCCAAGTCTGCGCTGAGTAAAGGACCAACCGAACTTGGTTTTATAAAGGTAAGAAATAGGGGTTAAAAAACACATTGAAGCAGAATTATAAAAGGTCTTAAGTGATATTAAAAGGTGTTAAACAGGCACAAAGAAGCCATTAATTTATTAATGAATTTATTTAACAAATATTTATTGAGCATCTCCTGTTTGCCAGGTTGATTCCTAATTGAGTGGTGGGGAGAGAGCACTGTAAAAGCAAATTCCCTTCTTCACGGAGCTGCCCTCCCCATGGAAGACAAATAATAATAAAACACAAACAAGTAAATATATAGTCAGTCAGGACTGGTGGCAAGGCAAGGGCGGCGTAGGGGAATAGAGAGCAGGGGAGGGTGTAGCCCTGATACACACTGTGGTCTGGGAATGACTCACTGCCAGGATGACATCTGAGAACAGACCTGAAGGAAGTGAGAAAGCTGAGGGAGCCTGGGCCGCAGTTTCCCCAGGGAAGTTCAGCACAGGCAGAGGTGGTAGGAGGTGCAAAGGCCCTGGGGCAGGAACACATTTGCATCATCAGTGGCCAGTGGTTGGAGGAAAATGTTTGTGTGAGGAGAAGAAATCAGGAGGGGATGTTGAGAAGTGAGACATGGGCAAGATCAGCTTGGACCTCGGTAAAGATTTTGGCTTCTACTATGAGAAGCTAATGGAGATTTTCACCAGGAGTGACATACTTTAGGATGTTCGCTCTGGGAGAATGAACATGCAAACAAGGAGGCCAGGGGAGAGATGCTGGTGGGGTTTGAACCAGGGTGGTGTCTGTGGAAGAGATGAGAAGTACTCATTAATTTCTAAATAGATTCTGCAGATAAAGCGGAAATCGTTTGCTAATAGATTAGCTATGGTGTGGGAAAGAAAGATAAAAGATGAGGATGACTCCAACGTGTTTAGCCAGGAAACTGGAAAAATAACATTCCCATGGATTGACATGGAGAATACAAGAGGTATGGGTTAGAATAAAAAATAAGAAATTTGATTTTGGAAAACAAGCGATTAGTGTCTTGTGCTGTCCATTACTAACCATCTGTGGGATTCAGATTTACATTTTAGTTGATGAAAGTTACATCAAAGTAAAAAATTCAGTTCCTCAGTTGCACTCACAATATTTCAAGTGCTCAATACCCACTTGCGTGTGGCTACTGCCACCAGATTGGACGGTGCGGTGTCACCGGGCTTTTCGGTCACTGAGAAAGGCCCACTGGGCGCGCTGGAGACACGCAGCCTTCGCTGTGCGCTGGGCCCTGTGCTTCCTGTGCACATCCCACCGAATCTTCAATCAGCTCCACAGGTCAGGCAATGTCATATATTTACAAAGGATGTGACTAGAGTTCAGAAGAGTTAAGAAACTTGCCCTAAGTCACACAGCTCTTAAAGGGCAAAAAGCTAGAATTGGATTTCAGGACTGCCTGCTTCCAAAACCCAAGCACATACATCATTGCGCTCTAGTTTAGAAGGCTAAGCTAGTCTGAAACCAGACGTGACATCCACAGGGACCCGTCCACCAGGCTATGGGCAGCGGGTGTTGAAGCCCAGGAAGGAACCGGGAGAGCTGGGAGATCGGGGACAGAGGGAGGCTCCGGAGACCTGTGTGCTTAGAACTAACAGGACACACTCCAGGGCTCACCAGTTCCGAGGAAAACACACCCTCTGCAGGCCTAGTTCATGCCTCTGCATAAGGGTCTATTGATGTTAAAGGTTCGCTTGGCAGAAAGAAGGGCTTAATTGACACCAGGTAATATAAAGTTCAGATCCTGTTCTACCCCATGATTCTCAACAAGGTACGGTGCCACTTAGAAGACACCTGGAATGTACGGGGTGCTCGGGGTAGGCTGAGGGGGGCCATGGGCGTTGTGTGGCAATGACTTTAAGACGCTGATCCCTCGATGCTGCTGCAGCCCAGCACAATGCAGAGAACTTCTCACCCACCGAGTCAGGGCTCCGCATCGTGGGCAACATGGCTCTCGAGCAATGCCCGCCCATGAGCTGAAGGATGGAAGTGAGGACGTGGTGGGAGGCAGTGGCCCAAGACATGTCGGACACACTGCTCCCCAGTCTGCTGTGGGCTTGCCGTGCGGCTGGGGGCCGCTGCCTGGACTCACTTTTCTCAACTGAGTCATGCAGAACACAACAGTGAACACCCATCTGAGGTGGCTCTGAGCATCATAACACTGAAATATTGGCCCAGGGACATAAATGTACTGTTGTCAGAAGCAGGAGGAGGGGACGAAAGAGGAGCTCTAGGATGGAGACGAAAATAACCAAGATGGTGAAGTATGGTAGCAATCATCTCAGGTAGAAACTGTGGTTTAACTCTAACCCTGCTGTTTAGTTTCTGTACTTATTTGCTTGCTAAAATAATAGACAAGTTATTTTAATTTTCTGAATTATATAAATCACCCCATTTGATTAAATACCGTATTGATTGTAATGTGAATATCCTATTGGTTGTGGTCATACTGGTCTTAGAAAGCACATTTTCCTTTACCTGGGAAGGACAGCACAGTTATCCCAAGGTCAGAGGGCTCCAGTTAACGTGTCCCTGTTGACTCAGTGTTCCAGAGACCCACACACTATAATTTAGATAACATGTTTAAGTAAACTGCTTCTGCTTCTGTAAACTGCTTTTTTGTAAACCAGGTTCCTCATTTTCAGACCCGAGAGTTCTAGATATTGTGTTTCTGTCAATGCAGTGATCTTGGAGACCCAAAACTATAATTTAGACAACATGCTGCTTCTGCTTCTGTAAACTGATTTTTGCAAACCAGGTTCCTCATTCCAAACCTTGGGATGTAATCAACACCTTTGTGATCTTTGCCTATATAAATCTGGTGTTGGGGCTGGGGCGGGCACTATGAGATCTGGGAGAGCGAAATGCTCCCTCATAGTCCCGGATTTGCAATAAATGTGACTCTTTAATTCGACTTCTTGTGTCGCCCTTGTGTGATTTGCGGGTTATATTACAACAATGGAAAGTCAGATAGAGAAGCCTGTGGAGAGCAGCATGGTCCCATAGAAAACAACGCAGGTTCAGTTCCCGACCGCAATGAAGCGGTGGCGTCTTTCCTTAGACCTCATGAGCAACCTCGGCAGCTTCACTTTCAGGCCCACTTTCCCTCCGCAGCCTCCGCAGGACTGAAGTGAGGGCCTTGCTGTGGGTGAGGCTTTGCCTTGAGGGAATGTTGGGGCTGGTTTGATCCGTCCAGACCACTAACACGTCTATATACCGGCAGTGGGGCCCTTTCACTTTCTTATCACTCCTATCAGCACTTTCAATGTCCTTCAAGGGTGTTTCCTTTGCTTTCACAACTTGACTGTTTGGTACAAGAGGCCGCGCTTTCAGCTTATCTCAGCTTCCGACCTGCCTTCCTCCCAAGCTTGCTCACGTCTAGCTTTTCATTTGAGGTAAGAGACGTGTGACTCTTCCTTTCACTTGAACATGGAGGGGCCACTGTAAGCTTATTAATTGGCCTAATTTCAATATTTAAATTACAAAGTGTTTATGGCTATTTTTCCATGACAACTGTCTCTGCCACGAATTTAAGATTCTCAAGTTGACACATAGTTCAAATAGCATGGGGCAAGCTTAAGTGATGGGTAGTGTATCTGTCACAGAAGTAGCTCTCTATATAATTTCAATATAGTACCCACAAGACTACCCCAGACTCTATGGAATTCATTATTGTTAAAACTCATCCCTAATTTCCTATAAAGTTTTTTTTTTCTTAAAAAAAAGCATACAACAGTGGTATAGCATAAACACATTTATTTACTAACGAAACGGTCGATCTTAATTAAACCAACTCAGAAATAGTTGCATGTAAAATGGTTGTGATAACTGAACACAGTAAAGGGGAAAAAACGCGTGGAGAGATTTGCTCATTGAACTGAGCTTGTTTATCCTCATGGCTAATTCCCGCCTGGAAGGATGATGGAATTCTTACTCCACTTTCTCATAGACCCGAGTACAGTTGACATTGTTCATGACGCATTCCTGGGAGAGAGAATGATATTGATGAGTTAGATCTTGTGTCCTAGGGCAACGGTGGAAGGTAAGTGCTAGGATCAGAATCCTATGAAACCTTGTCATCTGTTTTACAGATGAAGATACATGTTAGGATTCCTGGGTTTTGTAAAGCTAGAACCTGTTATTTTGCTTAAGATATGCATGTGTTTAGCTGAACTAATGTACTGATTTGTAGTATCTAAATTACTCATTTGGTCTTGACAAACAGTATTCCTCATTTTAAAGTGTGTTTTTAAAAAATTGATTTTAGAGAGAGGAAAAGGGAGAGGGGTAGAGAGAAACATCAATGTGAGAGAAACATTGATTGGCTGCCTACCATGTGCACTCCGACCAGGGATTGAACCCCCAACCTGGGTATGTGCCCTGACCGGGAATCAAACCCGCAACCTTGAGGTGTACAGGACGATGCTCCAGCTAACTGAGCCCCACCTGCCCGGGCAGTACCTCAGTTTAAAGAAATGGAAACTGTATGCCCCAGTGGGCAGTTTGGTGGGTTGCCTATGATGCTGGCCAGTCACAGCAGGGCCCGGAGTGGACCCAGCCCGGCAACACCCCTGCCCATCCCCTCTCTTCTCTGTCCCACAGAGGACTTTGTAGTGTTCAGTGCTTAAGTAGTCATTGTGCCCTTTTCTACCCCGGCCTCGCTGCCCTGCTTACGATCTGCGACACACAGTTCTGTGAACTACGAACGCGCCCGAGAGGCCAAAGGCCGGCACTTACCACCACTAGCTTCCCGCCCTCCAGCCGCCGCGTGATGGTGCTCTCCTTCCCGTCCCACTCCTGGTGCTGGACCAGCGCGCCGTTGACGAAGTTGCAGACGGTCTGCAGAGATAAAGTGCACTTTTTAATTTTCCAGAGGACGTTACCGGGCAGGTCCCGTGACGCATAACCTCCTTGATCAACATTTTTTCAGCTTTCCCATTCTGCGTCTACTTCAAGCCAGTTTCACTCATAATATAGTTGATGCTTGTCAACCTAGATGCACATAAGAGACACTCAAATGCTCATGTTCCTTAAACTAGTTTTACAAAGTAGACTAAGTTGTGATACTGGTCCTTTCACACTAATTTGTCAACTCGAGTCATAAAATAACTTGAGATGTCTTTTATTCAGCAGCTCCTGCTTGTAAATGCCAGAATGTTATTCATACAATCTATCATTCTAGAAGCTTCTGTGAGTGTGTAAGTGATGCCTGACCTGAGTTTTCCTGCCATCTGCTGTGGTCTCTTCAAACTTCTCTCCCAGGTTGCATGAGAACTGGGTGGTCTTCAACGTGCTCTCGCTTCTGAGGGTGAGGTGTGTGCCGTCGGAAGTGATGACACAGTCTGGCTTGGCCATGGCGCCCATTTTCCGCATAGCCATTCCCACACCTGTGAATGTCAATCACATTCTCTGTCAGGAGGACCAGAGTTACAGCTTACAGAATGCAAGATTCGAGCCCATTGTAATTACTGTGCTGGGTGTATTTTCACTTACTCCTAAGAACTATGGCAAACACAGACCCAGTGCTCACCACGTGCTAGCACCAGACACACACGGATTCACAGAAGCCTTGAGACCACCCTGTGAGCAGGGCCACAGCACTGTCTCCATTCTATAGATGACAAAGTGAGTCACTGAAGTCACCCACACAAGCTCGCTCAGCTAGGAAGTGATGAGCTGGGAACCAACGATGCAGGCAGTATGGCTCCAAATCTCAGCTCGTGGCCACTGTGCTCTGACGGCCGCCGGAACGCGCGGGAAGCACCCAGACTTCTAAAATTGACTTACTCAGTTCTGCCGGCCATCGTGTGACAGGACTCCAGCACACAGTCCGGCACAGACAAGGCCCTGGTAAACATGTGATCGCTATGCTACACAAATAGAAACCGATGCCGAGATACTCCAACAGGGCAATGTTTTAAGAGGTAAAACAGCACAATCATGGTGGTAACAAATGAAAAAGTCTTCCCCTCAAAAACAGAGAACATTTCATAGCTATGCAACCCAATTACTCCATCGGCATCAGATCTAAGTTATAACTGGTGTGTTTCATTTACAAGAAAACTTAGACCAGGACCAAGGCCCCATTTCAGATGAGGAGATGACAACCTACACAGAAGCGCCGGCTTGATGACGGACACTCTGCCGGGCCTGCAACGTCCCCAGGAGCCATCTCGTCTGCCGGCACACGGTGGTGCCTGGTGCTGTTGGCTGGGAGGGCTCTGCTCTCCCCACACCTTGACTGCATCCCAGTGAATTGAGTGTGGCACCCCCTCATGCCTCTAACCTTGGAAACACATTTGCTTTCAATGGACAGAGCATGCTTGGCCCTCAGACAGGTGAGCGCTCGGACACACACACAGGGACACACACACACACACACACACACACACACACGGTGTACTTCTCGGGTATGAGTGCGGTACCCAGGGTCCCCTGGATCTCGGTTTACGAGGAGAACGTGAAAAGGCCGGCCTACTGGCTTCCCTCCCAGGACCCTCAGTGCACTCATTCCCATGGAAGCAGCCGGCACACGGCCTCTCGCAGAAAGACCGCAGGGGCCGTCACCCAGAGCAGCCGCTAGTGGTGGGAGGGCGGGCAGCTCTGAGCCCTCCTCATCCCACAGTGGTCTCAGGGCTGGAAGCCCCTGGCAGACAGGACCCAGGCTCCGCCACTGCATCTCGCTTCCTGATGGCCTGTGACAAAGGCCTATTTTTGTTTGCGTATCTACCCAATGCCTCAACCAGTATGCCATCCTTGTCACTGCTTAGGACAGGATGGGATGAACCACTGTCTGAGACAGTGAACTTGAACCTTCTCCCCGGCACCCGTTCTCCTACCTAGGCTTTAAGAAGTCTGGGGCCTTTTGCAGGGCCACGCCCATCCTGCCTGCGGGTAGGGGGTCCAGCTCTTCTCCAACAAAGACCACCCACACAAGCAGGGGTCCAAGCAGCGGTGCACGGCCACCCGCCCACAGTGGCCCCAGACACGCAACGCCACACGAGGTCAGCACTGCTGGCGCCACGCCTCTGGGGTCGGAGGGAAGGATGCCCCAGGCCCCAGGGAGCTGAGCCACGCAAAGAGCCGGGTGGGGGTGAGAGCTGAACAGAAGCTGGGGCTGCATCGGGGTTCAGACCCTTCTACAGGCGCTCGGCGGGGAAGAGGGAGGGGGATCGGCGCGCTCTTGGAGGAACAAAAGATGCGGCAGAGCAGCGCAGGGTGGTGGAAGGGGCAGTGGGTGCAGCCACTTATGGGGTCGAGGCAGGAGGGTAGCAGGAGGAGGGATGCGTGTTGGGGATAAAAAAAACAAAATAGGGGAAAAGGGTACGTAGCCGAGCTGGGTGCAGCAGGCGGC